GGCTTCATCAGGGCTCCCCCAGTTCAAGTGTCACGGCTTTGGAGGGGAGCCCACACAGCGCGACTGCCTTGGAAGGGGTGAAGGTGCTGGGAGTGGCCGCACCACCACCGAGTGCCCGGCCTTGCCTCGGCCTGAGGGAACAGAGGGAGGCTGGTGGCAGCCGGGGTCAGGGGTGCGACCTGACCACAGGGAGAAGAGGGGAAATCTTCCCCTGGCTCTCAGCCTTCTCCTCCCTCCCGCAGGTGTCTCCGGAGCAGGTGATCCTGTCCCACAGCCCCCTCCGGCTCTTCAGCCACTTCCACCAGAAGTGCATGCTGGTGGACGGGCAGGGGCCTGTGGAGGAGAATGCCCTGAAGTATCCTTTGCTGTGGTGCTGCCTTTGTCTTGTGGTGCTCTGCGCTTCCCACTGCAGCCTTCCAGCCAAATGCTGCTGCTCCTGCCCTGCCCCTGGCACTCACTCCTTCAGCTTGTACAAGCGCAAGGAAACAGAAAGGTCACTGGTCTCATCCAATGGAGAGGCTCAGGTGCAGGCACTAACTGTTGATCTCCATCTTGGTTACCTCCTGGCTGTCCTTGTTCTGTGTTTGGCTTCTCGCACTGATTACCTCTCCTGTGATTGCTGTTTGTATTGGCGGGATGTCACCATGAGAACTTCATCAGCTTTGGACCTCTGTCATTTCTAAGATTAAAATTGTGCTCCTCCCATTCTTTCATAGCAAAGTGCATTAGAGATCACTCCCACCTCTCCCACAGCTAAGGTTTTCCTCAGGAATCTGACAGCAATTGAAGGCACTCAAACATCATTAGAGCCACAATGTCCCAGTGCATGGACGTAGTCTAAATGACAATCCCACATGCATGTTGCCTAGCTGAGGCAAGGGCACAGCAGCTCTGATATATCCCATGTCTGCAGGGAGGGAAGAACTGCCTGCAGAGTTTGCGACATCTCAGTCTGTACACACAGTCATCCCTTGTACTTAACATTTAACTTCATTTGGTACAAAACCTTGGCCCGTCTCTATTATCCAAGGCCAGTAGGGTGAGCTAAGGGCAAGGTGTTTGGCAAGTAAATGCAACTAATCCTTCACCTGTGCAGTTTTATCAGCACAGACCATTTTCTTTTCACCAGTTGAGCTGAGCAGAGCTTCACTGATTCTGCTTCTAGCCAAGAAGCCTGACCAGCCCCCTGTGCTGCACCAATACAAGAACCCTGGCCTTAAAGGTCTCCCAAAGCACATCCATTCTGTCTTGGAGTGACCTCTGCTCTTTGCCTAATTCCAAGGACTGCTGATCACAAGCTAAATCACCCCAGTCTTTTTTTTTTTTTTTTCCTCCTGTAACCTTTAGGGCCTACCTTTAGGTTGAAGCACAGCACACAGTTTGACTGGAAGCTGTAAGCTTGTGTATCACCAGGTAAAATAACTGCTCTGCTACTAGGACTTGTATACCTTAATCCGGTAGATGCTTTTGCAAGTAACTTAAAAAAACAGTCACTTTAAAAAGAGAAAGTCTCCACAACTTTCCTTGATGAACTGAAATAGCCTGGGATTCAAGCATGTGGTCACCATAGAGGCACTGAGGAAGGCATATCCTCTGTTAGACATGGTGGATCAGAGCCGCAGGCCAAAAGAGCTGGTAATGTCCTGATGCATCAGTAAAACAGGTGGTCTGGTGTGGTGGTGCTTAAAATGTATAGCATGGGGTGGGGAAGCTGCAAAGGCACAGAGCGGCTGGCTGCTAGCAAGAGACTGGGACCTGTACTGAGCAGCCAGCACCTCTTTGCTCTTTGCAGTGTTGGCTCCTCCTGGAAGGGCAGTAACTTTCCCCTTTCCTTTCTTATGCCACACCTGTCCTTCATTGCTATTCCTTGCAGTAAGTGGTAAGATGGTTTGGTTGACATCTCCAGCTCTGAGACAGAAATGCAAGAACTATGAAATATGATCTGGGAAGGGGGTTGGGGGAAATCTTTCTTCAGGATGCCAGGTGGCCTTGTCCTGCCTCTGCATGGGACTGCCTTGGCAGGTTCAAAGGAAGCATTTTTAGTTTTGTTTTAGAGACGGCATTAGGTTTTGCATTACTAACCTAGCCTTTGTTTTTTTCTGGCAGCCACCTCCAGCCACTGGCTTCCCCACTATAGAAGGTAAGCAATAGGCTGTGTTTACATATGAACAGCAAGCAGAAATAACAGTCAGGCAAGCCAGCTGGGATGAGAGCTAACAATGTGCTCTCAGCTCATTGGTGTCCACAGGCAGTATCTTCAGAGGACGTGGTCAGGAGGCAGCCTTGCTGCCCTCATGCAGCACGAAGCACAAGGTTGCTAAAAGCAAAACCAACTTCTCTCTGTGCCATGCTCCAGCATCTGGGACCAGTGGTGCATGTGGTGCAAACTGAAGCCCTGACACCAGCCGTGTTCCAGTGGTAGCTGTATTAGCCAGGGCATCCCAGCAGAGGAGTGTTTTTAGCTATTGGGTGGCTTTTAGTAGTGGGTCCTGTACTAGGATACCGTGAGCTTCCAAGCATCTCTTGAAATCTTACAGGGGTGATTCTGTTTGGTGAGCCAGTGAGGTGGGAGACAAGTCTGCAACTTATTATTGATGTACTCCTGAGCAACGGGAACCCTGAGGCAGAGCTGCAAAATATACCATACCCCCATCTGCCCATCCTTGCCTGCAACATGGATCTCCTGTGGATGGCCGAAGCCAAGATGCCTAGGTGAAAAGCATGTGTGGTATTTGGTTTAGCTTACTTCATACATCTCTCCTGCAGATGATCCTTTCTTACTACATTTTTTAGCATTAGAGTTTGACTGTATGGCATAATTAGCTGCAGAGATAGGAAAACTGCATGAGAAACAAAGACTTGAACATTTCAATAAATAAAAGCCAGACCACTGCCTGTGCAGGTGTGTGTGTGTAGGGTAGCTTGGTGGTACCCTGGCTACAGGAGGTGGTCCTCCTCACTGAGGAGTGTTTGCTACTTAAGTGGTGTGACAGGGGATACTGATGACCTCCTTTCTGGAGCAGGTTTGGCCATGGCACTTTCCTTCTCTGCTTGGAGACCATCTACAAGAAAGTGACAGGCCGGGAGCTGAAGTATGAGGCCTTGATTGGCAAACCCAGCACAGTCACCTACTGCTATGCCGAATACTTGATAAAACAGCAGGCAGAGAAACAGGGCTGGAAGGCTCCCATCCGACGCCTCTATGCAGTTGGGTAAGAGACTGTTTTTCCTGCTGGTTTCCTTAGGGAGTTGCATGCTGACTTCTCTTAAGTGGGGTTTTTTAATGGATATTTCTAAAAGGAATACCAAAATCCCCATGGCGTCTCTGGAGCCTCACATCCTCGAACAGAGGCTTGCTAGCTTTTTGCACCCTCACTTTTAATCATTTGAAGGGCCCTGTCAGCCTGGCAAAGCTGTTACTGTAGGATGCAGAGTGCATGTAGCATCATTGGATTAAAGAAACAGTTAGGAGACCCACATGTAGTACCATTAGCCCAGTTAGGCCAAACAGTTTGGAATTTTAGAGAATACATTACAGTAATGGATGAAACTGCTTTGGATGTGTCTTTCTCCCCTTTGAAAGATGTTTGTGAAGCATGTGGCTTTCACCACAGCTGAACAGCACCCACCAGGAGGTGGACTCACTGGCCCAGTCTGGGTGGTTCTCATTGATGTTAGCAAATTCCTCACGCCCCTTCCTCCCTTGGTGCTACCTTAATTCCAGTCTGCCAGAGCCAGAAATCAATGCATGGTCTAGTGTCTCATTTCTGTTTCATACTGTGACCTTATCCAGGGATAACCCTATGTCTGATGTCTATGGGGCAAACCTCTACAACAGCTACCTCAAGTCAGCTCACCAGAACCAGGTCCAGACTGGAGAGAAGAGGAGCCCACAGCCAGCCAGTCCCCAAACTGAGGATCACTTGGAGCTGGGGAAGGACTGCAACAATTCTGTGGAGAGTTGCGAGTCGATTCTGGTCTGCACTGGGGTCTACCGCCACAATGCGGATGTTCCCAGTAAAATGAAGGGGTGCACACCAGAGACCGTGTTTCACGGCCATCGAGACTTCTGCTTTGACCCAAGCCTGGTGGAGGCAAGTAACATAGTGCAGGATGTTAATGATGCCGTGCAACTTGTTTTCAAGAAGGAGAACTGGAGCTAGGGTTAAGACAGGTGTGCCTAAAGATCTACTGTCAGGGGTTTTATGCACTGGAAAGGGAATAAGGGAAGAACAGGGAGAGACCTGGGGTGATCTTCTAATCTAGCCAACATGAAAGAAAACTCCCTGTCTCAGCACTAAAAGCCCCTTGTTTTTACTGACACTCATCTGCAGTCCTGCCAGCAGGCTTTAAACTGTGAACGTACATTGCCGCCATCGACAATTGAGCCATAATGGAAACAGGGTATAAGGAGAAGGCTTGTCCCAGCAATCCCAGCTTTGTTCAGCCATCAGAGTTCTTTCTTCTCCACCCTTTTGCATGCAAAGATCAGGTAAGCCTACCCTTCTCCTCGCGATGTATTGGAGGTTGAAGCTCTTCCCTGTGCAAGGAGCCACCATCAGCCAACGTGCCCTTCATACCATTCGTTACCATTCGTCCAGCCTGGGACGTGAACACACCAGAAGCTGGGTTGTGGTGGCACTGTGCCAAGGGAAGGTGTTACGTCTTAACATTCTCCTTATGAAAAACAAGTGCCTATGGACTTTAACAAATTATGTTTTCTTGGGGATTTGCCACGGCATTGCTGCAGGGCTGAAACACAAGTACCATTTTGCAGTCCTCTGGCAGCTATGGAGAAGCAGAGCTCCTGAAAGAAAGCTGCAGTAGCCAGAGCAACTTGCTGCAGGGCCGAGGGGAAAGTTATATTATACCCTTCTCCCTGTTTAACATTCTGTGAACACTTCTGCCTTTTCACATCCCACTAGGGAGCCAGCAGTCTGCTCTCAATAGCAGAGGAAACCCCAACAGAGTCTGAATTTCCAGAGGTGTCTTTGCCCAGAGCTCTGAGCTTCAGCGAGAGGCTGTTTCAGCATGCACCCTGACCCCAGCTGTTGCAAGGGACTTCCCCCTGTTCCAGCTGGCACAGCTTCCAAAGAGGGGACGGT